GAAATAGGTCTCCTTTCCTCCTACTGGTTCTAATTCTTACTTACAACATCACTAATGTGAAAATACGTTTAATAGGAATGTATATGTATAGCCTATATCAGATTGTACACCATCCTGGGGAGGGTGGTAGGGAGGAAGGGGGAGAAAAATTTTAAACTCAAAAGCATATGGAAGTGATTGTTGATAAATTAAGATAAACTAATTTTAAAAAAAGAAAATAGGTCTCCTGATTTTAAGTTTAAGGCCTCTTTCCTTATATCATACTGTCTTCTAAAACAAGATTGTCTAAAAATTAATAAGTCAGTTTTGGCAGCTCTCAATCTTATCTCTTCCCTTTCTTAAATGATTCTGAAGTAAAAGATACAATCAGTAGAAACTTGATGTGGAAAACGATAAGGACTTTCTATATCTGTAGAATAATTTAGAATAACACTTTTCTAGAAAATTTAAACTACTAAAGCTTAAAATTGCACTAAGACTTTAGGGACACTGTATGATGCTTTTCTCACAACCATCCTGCTAGGTAAGTAGTGCAAATGTTATTATCCTCACCCAGGAAAATGAGTTTAAGCAAATTGCCCATGCTCACACAGCTACTGAGTAAAACTGATAGGATTCACAGGCCTCTTACAACAAATCCAGTGTTCCTTCCATTTGACCATGCTGCATCCCAACAAATGAACAACATAACAGATTAATAAAGGATATACTCAGTTATAGTTATATCAATTTAAAATTTACAGGGATACTACATCTACATGACTACTCTCCTCTCACCTCCCAATTAAAAAGTCAAATCTTTAAAGAATGAGATTTCCTAAAAGTTGCAGAGATCAATTTTGCTTTGATATAAGAAAAAAATCCTAAAAAATAGAGCCATCCAAAAGTGAAATGAGATGCCTTTGGGGATAGATCTCCTTAAACAAAAGTCTTTAAGCAAAGCTAGAATGGTTACTTGTCCGATGTGTTATAATAAGAATTCTGGTGCAGTCATGAATTGGCCTAGATAGTCACTGAGCTCCCTTTCAATGCTGAGATTCTGTGATTCTGTTGTCTAGCATCAAATAAACAGTTAGATTGGTTTTTAACTGAATAAACATGACAAAGGCTCCCATCATGTTACGTTGAGTTTCTGAGTCCAGGAAAGAGAGGAATGGGAAGGTGTGGAGAGCCATACTCATTCTTAAAATTCTTATTTCAAACATCTTGAAAAGGATAAGATTTTGTCCAGGGCTTTAAGTCTGCCAGCCACTATATCCATGCTGATACAGAGCTGGGTACTTCCTCTCAAAATCGCTACATACACCTACCTGAAAAAGTCTTTGTTGAAAATATTTCATAGAGAAGATCTAGGTTCAAATTATCCAAAAAAACTGACATTCTTTTCCAAAATGTTCATTATTGCAAACACTTGAGCACCATAACAATTTCCTTCTGCTGTTATGGATCAGTGTGGCTTCAATAATTTTTAGCTAGTGAGGGTCAGTAATGAAGTAAGATTAAGATGGACAGCCCTCAGATTCCAGTGGTATTTACACGATGAATATATGAATAAAAAAGTAATGTCAAGAGAATGTGAGAAAGGCCACTAGCATGATGTCAGGACCTCCTTTGGTGCCTTTACAGTATAATGTGGGCAAGAGTAGCACAAGATAGGTAGGCAAGAATGGGATGCAATATGTAATGTTGGAGGGCGTGTCCACATCAATGACATCATGCCTCCATTGAGCATTGAATCTATTAAAGTAGCTCTTGTTTGAGATATCATATTAACCTAGACTACAAGAATGATCATATATTAAACTTATAACTTGGGCCTCAAATCCCATTTGTATTAGACTCTATTGGTGGAGATTGATTACTCAATTGTTAATCAATTAATTGCTCAATCAATAATCAATTGATTTCTTATTTACACTGAGTGAGGGGCAAAATTGGGAGGAAGAGATCTTTTTGCTTTTAACTTCTGACTTGACTCTTCATGTCAGTGAAGAGACTTTCTCTGGAAAGAAGCTGACAAGATTGAGGTACTGTAACTCTACCTACTGGTTTCTTCCAAGAGTCTCTCTCCCTTCAAGGAAGAGTCTAGAGCCCCACGTCTTCTCTTTTAGAGCTGGAAGCCAGAACGGCAGGATCTCACTTCTTCCAGGGTCTCACCAAATCTGCCCTTCACTCAGGAGCAGAGCACTGAATAATAAATCTCCACCAATGAGGATAATCCAATGCAAATGGACCTACTAGCCAAGGGATACAAACTATTCATTAAAAAATCAATGTCTACATCTTTTTTTTTTTAAAATGTTCCAAACAATTCAATCAGTTCACTGAAGGGAAGGGGGAGGGAAGGCAATTACTTGTTCTCAGCAGCTTATCACTCCAACAAGCAATAGATTGAGTCAACATTTCACCTTTCAACCATTATGTATGTTCTATAGGCTCCAGTAGAATCTGCTGCTTTGAAGAGTATTTTGTTTTCCTGTCAAATGAATGATGACTCTTATTTTTAAATGGGAGCCAACTTCATGGCATTCGAGGAACTGCAGTGTAACTGACACTCTAAAAGTTGCTCAATCTGATATTCCACTCCTCTTTTTATAAAGATATTTTCTTTGTTTCTGAAGGTTTTGTTTTGTTTTGTTTTTAAAGGAAGAGGAAGATTTTCATGCAAGTCATTTCTTGGTACGATTTTTTAAAATGGGCATGTTGTTGACATGCAAGGAGATATAACAGAAGGATTGGCTTTAGATATTATGTGTACTGAACTGAATTTGTAAGAGTTTTCAGCAAGTGTGGAAAACTTTGGTCCTTAGTGAGATTTCAACTAATGTTAAGATACATTTGTCTTGGCTGCTGAGTGCCTGAAGATGTCCTGATCAGAGAAAAGTTTTGAACAGTGGTTAATCCAACTAATTACAAATTCAAGGAGCAGCAATAACATTCTGAAACCCGTTTCTATGAACTTAATGTGTAGCAAGTATGATTTAACTTAAGAACTTACTGAAGATTCTCTACTGTTTTTGGCCTTTTTTTTGTCCATCTATCTCACTCTTTGAGTGTGTGTGTGTGTGTGTGTGTGTATGTGTGTGCATGTGTGTGTGTATGTGTGTCTGTCTGTCTGTCCGTCTTGCCCTGCTTTCTCCCACTTCCCCAGCAATGGTATGGGCAGTAAAAGACTTTCCTCATAGATTAGCTATGTGACCTTCATGAAAATATCACTCTCTGGGGTTTACATTTCTAGCTGCAAAGTGGGGGCAATATTGTTGAATAACAGTTTTATAAGTCACACTTTGGACAACAGAATGAACATCTCAGTCCTTAAAATAAGTTATTCACATTCTAGAGCCCTATTCTAATACAGCCATGTCAAGATGGTCTAGTCTATAATGTCTAAGAAATAATTACACATAGGAGATACTCTGGCTCAGGTGCACCTCTTCAGTTGCCCTACTTCCTTACTGGTATTGACTAGAGATAACCCAACACATTTCTCTTTGTCTTAATATCTCAAAGTTCCACCTCTAAATAAAGAGATGGAATGATTATTAGATTCTTCTATAGCTTTCTGGATGCTCCATTCCTAGCATGAAACCAAAATAACCAATATCAGGTTTTCTAGTCAGGCTTTTTGGTTGTTCATTTTCAGTTGTGGGTTGTTTTTTGTTTTGTTTTCTGGGGGTTTTTTGGTCTCTGTGTCTGGGCAGGATTTCCTGGGTGACAAGTTGGTCGATTACTCCCTGCTAGGCTACCATTTTGCTTACCACCAACTAACTGCTTGATATATTCCAGTTATTTCTCCAATACTGTATAACTAATTATGTTACTTCTTATACCTATCCTTCCTATAATAAGGTTCTCTCTTGTTAGCCCTCAAAGGTTTATTGTCAAAATAAACAATTAAGGAGATTTTAAAATGCTTTGCAGGTGCTGTATAAATCTAAGTTATTATTACTGGCATAAGGATTTGATAAGTTATTTTAATTTGAATACATCAGATGATTTGGTTATGGGTTCAACACAAATTGACATTTGAGTAACAGTTAAACAATGCAACAACAACAAAAATCCCAAAAGATTGAACTTCAATGAGTTTAACAAAAACTTATTCTACTACACATGACATAAAAATCCACTTAAGCTTTGCTCTGGTCATTGATAATGTCACCTGACTCTCACAACTAAGTTCTTTTCCTGTACATCTCTATAAAGTCATCCATTTCTATCTATACAAGATGTTCCTAAAATAGCCACAGTCCAACAAATATCTTCAAGCAGCTCTGGGGAGGAAGGCCTGAGTTGCCACATTCCTCTTACAAGAAGAGTACAGCACCATAAATATAATTACAAACATAATAATAGCCATGGAGAGATTTTAAATAAGTTTTCCATTTTTTATTCTGCTCCTAGTGTACATCTACAATGTGAAAATAGTGTCAGACAGCTTATAAACGTGAGGCTGCTCAGAGTTCGGGTTGCATCACCCTGGTATGCTTAGGTATTGCAGCAAACATTAAAAGGTAAGCTCAGTCCCTGCTCTGAGAAGCAGGCATTGGGCAGAGAAAACTAATCGAGCAGAATCAGCCAGGACTCTATATGGAATTTTCCCTTTTAATTTTTTTTGGCATCAGCCTCTTGGGGTGATTTTCAAGTACTTTCCAGAGAAATTTTGTGTATGTGACAATATTAATGTATCCAATAGTTGCAAACCAACCCAGGGAATCAACAGAAAACAAGCCAGATTTCCTGGGTGTGATCCTAACAACATTTGTTAATGCACAAGTTTGTTACTGCACCTCTGAAATATTTTAAGACACAATCACACACACACACATACACACACACACACTACACTGAATTTAAATAATTGACTTTAACTTATTAAAAAAAAACACACCATCTGAAACTCCTTCATAAGGACCAATGAAAATCTCCTTTCAATGAAAAAACAAATACAAATACATCAGAGAACACTGAACAGGAAGTAAACCTTTTTATACACATACCTCAAACAGGTAGGAGTGAAGGAATCCATATTAGAAAAGATGTTGAAAAAGCTTCATGTCCACTTGTGCTGTTTGGGAAAGCAAGACGGTTCAGGTTATGAACCGAGCAGCATCTGCAGTATCATGGCTGGCAATGACCTCTATCTAATTAAAAGTAAGTCGGGCTTTCCAATCAGGTATTCCATGGGAGACAGCTATGTTTTGTTATTTTCCTCAGATGCACTATTTGTATTGGGTGGGGGAGGGAGCCCAAATATCAAAGACCCCAACCTGGGCCAGACTAGCATGGGGCATATGTCCAAAGCACAGCAGCGGCCTCAAGAAGCTGGACACCCCTGCAGTGCTAGGCTTCTCAAGCAATCCCACCGCCTTCCTCCTATGGGCTGAAACCAGGGCTCCAGTTTTTGCTTCATCCTCAGGAACAAGATGACCTCTATTTAGAGTCTAGCAATTCCAATTCTAAATCAACAGTGAAAAAAGGGGTGAGGGTGTAGGTGGGGGTGGGGTAAAGGGACCTTGGGTATGATAGGAAAAGAAAAAAAAAAATAAACACAAGAAATGGCAAACGTCCGACGTCTATCAGACTGACAAAACCCATCTTGTATCAAAACGCTGATCTGCAAAACAGCCCTGATTTCAGCTTGGGGAAGATTGAAGGGGGTGCAGGTGGGAAGGGGGAGGAGGGGGAAGGAAGGGAGGGGAGGGGAGACTAGCTGGGATTCACATGCAAAAATAGACTCTCTGCTCTGCTAACAAGGACAGGCTCTTTTTAAAAGGGTAGCCGGCACGTAGGAGCCAAGGACTGTAATGAAACAAGCCTTCAGCTGGCTTACCTGAGAAAGAGGAAAATCACTCATCTGCAGTGAGGGATGACAGGATCTCCTAGAGCCTGGATGATAGCGTGCCCTTAGTGGGAATTGGCCCGATTTTTTTGTTGCAAAGGGTTGCCAACTATTTACAACTGCTGCATTCTCCCTGAGAGGAGAGCCTCACACATACACCAAAGAGACCTCTGCAGTATCCTCTCGGCTTCATCGTCGGCTTCCTGTATTGAGGCTCACTCTATGGTACCTAATACAAATCAGCAAATAGCTTGTTTAAAAAAAAAAAAAGCCAGAAGCCAGCACCTTACATAACAGCTCCATCTACTGGGCAAAAGTTAAATATCTTGTCACCAACTGGATTGGTGTGATCTTTCTCAGCTTCTCTCTTTGCTCTTCCCCTTAACCTCCTTCTCCTTTCTCTTCCTCCTCCGTTCTTTATATGCTACTAATTTCCCTCCTTTCGTTTCCTCCCTCCCTCCCTCTCTCTCTCTCTCTCTCTCTCTCTCTTTCTCTCTCTCTTTCTCTCTCTCAACCATATACCTCTTCCATCAATAATGAGAAAAATTTAATAAAAATATACAGTCCTGTTCAAGGGTATAGGATCATATAAGAATATAGGCTAAGAGAGACCTATCTTAGAGTTCATCTGAACCAGTCTCCTCATTTTGTCAATGAAGAAATTGAGGTCTAGAGAGGTTAAAACAATTGTCTAAGGTCACACAAGTAGTGAGTGACAAAACTGAGATATGAACTTGGGCTCTCTTACTTTAAATACAGCACTGTTTCCATTGTGCCATACTGGTACTGACTTAGAATTTTGTCTAGACAGACATGAACATTTCCTCATGTCTATTGTCAAAACCAGGCTGAACAAAATAGTCACTTAAGCAAAAAAAAAAACAAAAAACTTTCTAAAAAAGAGAAAACAATCAAATTACTCTGAGCACCCTTCGCATTTTACAAAGAATAGCTCTACATCTTCATAAATTTGAAGAAGCAGTTTAAGCAATAGCCGAAAAGTGTCAAAATAGCAGTTTGTCATTTCTGTTTTCACTCTAATTCTGTGATATTTATGTTTTACGTTCTATAATATTTTGCCTCATAAGCATCCTTGTGACTGTAAAAGTATGACTGCCATAGTGGTTCTAATTGCCAAGACTGATCCAAGCTAGAGTCAGTTTTGTTCCTCTTCACTATTTTGAATTTTCCTTACCTCTAGAATAGTGAAAAATATGAAGAGCTAGACCTCATGGACCTTTGAAGTTGTTTGAAGTCATCTAGAAATTTTCATAGAGTCATAGATCATTAGATTTAGAAGAGACTCATATAACTTACTCTAGGTTATAGTTACACATTTATAACTTCATAGTTTTGAACTGCCACTAATTTTTTCCTTGGTAAATTCAAGGTAGGAGTCATCATGTCACAGTGTATCCTGGGGCAGCCTGGGGTCAAGGCTTGCCTCTGATATAAACTAGCTATGTAACCAAGAACAAGTTGCATAACTTTCAGTACTCCTGGATACTCTAGAAGTTAACAGAAGAATTTCTAGTCTGAATAAGTAGAGGGAGTTTCCAAAGTCAGGGTTTCTTAATAAAATAAGAGATCTTAACCTCTTCTTCCTCAAAAAAAAAAAGTCAATTACACATGTGGTAACTGTAAACCTTTTTTTATGGTTCATCTAAACACATTTTCATATGTGATAGGTGCCATCTCAACTTTAACAAAAAGTCTCTTCAAGTCAGAACAAGTGTTAACCAATGAAGTGACCACAGACATTCTATATGACAATTATTTATGGAAATAATGAAATGCCAACCCAGGAACCAAAGACACCACCTTTATATAACTTAATTGTCTAAGAACAGAGTTTTCTCTAGTAATAGGTTAAAACTACACAAGTCTATAGCTTTGGATGTGTAGTCCATTCCCAATTTATCTATGTGTGGATTCTCCGCTTGCATCCAATATTTGGTTCCAGGCTGACTTCTCCCTTCCAGGAAATATATTCTAAGCTTTCTCTCCACCATTGTCAGCTACTATGTGATCAGGAAATGCAAACTAATTTGAACATTGCCTACATTGAGGTTCTTATGAGGAAAAGATTTTTTTAAACCGACAAATGCTAGATTTAGTAAGTAAGTCTTTGAGAGTTGCCTAAGGATCAAAGAGGTTAAGGGGCTTGCCTATGGTCATACAGGTGTTAAGTGTCAGGGGCAAGAATTGAAACTAAGTCTTCCTGACCCCAGGACTAATGAGTGCTCTATTCACTGCCCATGTTGCCTCTATACCTCTGTGCTTCTATATGGGAATTACATTAGGGCTGAGCAAGACATGATTAGGAAGTCAGATCTACTATTCTCTCCCAAAATATAATCTATCCCAAAACCAAAAAAGTTACATATGCAACAACCATTATTTCAGGCAATTTACACTTTTACCCTAAGAGTATCTTTTTTTTTTGTTAGGTAATGGGGTTAAGTGACTTGCCCAGGGTCACACAGGTAGTAAGTGTCAAGTGTGTGAGGCCAGATTTGAACTCAGGTCCTCCTCTCCAGGACTGGTGCTCTATCCACTGCACCACCTAGCTGCCCCTACTCCCAATGCTATCTTTTAAAGATACTTTTTGACTGTAACTTAAAAAAAACCCCAAACAACCACATGAAAATATAAAAAGGGAGTCAAAATTTTCAGTGTTTGCTAACACTGGACAATTGGGTTGATTCCATTTCAGGTATGATTTTTTTAAAAAGCACTGATAATAGCCCTAAAGCATAATGAAATCACAACTGGGCTATGAGATCCATTGGGATATTAAAATCCACATCAACTAATCACCAAGAAGTCACCATGAGCATAAACTAAATTATAAATAGATGGTTTTGGGGAAGGGGTGAAATCAATGTAGGATGCATGAGAAGATTTCAAATTAAGCTTAAAAGGACTTTCATTCTTCAGGCTCTAGAAGGAACCATAAGTTGTAAAGCGTACATACGCATTAGGATGAAGGAGGACTTTGCAGGTCTTCATTCATGCCATTTTGTTATAGCAGTGTTAACTCACTAACTTAACAGAATAGGTTATATTAGAATACATTAAAAAACATTAGGGGGGAAAAAAAGCTTGGCTAGCATGACCAATTTTTAAGAATAAATTTCCTGTTCAAAAATAAGCCTAATCAAAAGATCCCTTTGTGAAAACTGAAAGTTATACAGCATATTAAAATTTATATGAAGTAGGTACAAGAGATGTTTATTCCCATTTTAAAGATAAGGAAAGTATGGTTCAGATAAGCAAACTGACTTGGCCATGGTCATGTTAGAAGAGAGACTTGAACAAAGGCTTTCCTCACTCCAAGTACAGCACACTAAACAATATACTGTCCTAAATCTGGGCAGCAAGTAGGTATACAAATTTCCATACAACACATTTCACAGGGCTTTATAAAGCACTGGAAATTAGAAAGACTTCTGTTAGAGGGACAGATTAATTTAACCACTTGAGTTTTTAAGTACTTTGTTTCAGATGAATTTTCTAATCATGATATATATATGGCATCCAATAAACATTTATATCCCCTGTCCCTAAAATGAGAAAAACAAAACAAAACAAAACAAAACTCTTTAGCTATAAACATGATTGATTCTATTTCAGCAATAGGGAAACTTTAACAGAAAAAGAAAGTACTTTGGCCTATGTTCTTATGTTAACATTTTCACACAGCTTTTATCTAATTTAAAGCAGCTAAAATTGAATGTGGAATTTACTTCCTCCTAGATAAATATAGATACGCAGAGAGTGTAATTAAAAACCCTTCAGGCCTTGAGCCAAATAGTTTCCCAGCAAGGGTCATGGTATAGTTTTATATAGGACATATAATCTGTTCAAGTCTACACATATTTTGAATCTGGCCCACTAACTTTAGAACATCCTTTAGGTTCAAATGTTGCTTTGGGAAATTGTGCTTTCTCTTTATGTCCCCAAAACTTTTTAAATTGAAAAATGAAAAGCTCTGTCACCTAGATGTTTTATGTATACAATATCAAGCTATTTTTGTCTCACAGAATTGTTTTGGGATTCTGTAGATGTTACTTTAGGTCATAGACTATTTTTTTCTCAAGGCTGCCAATCCAGGTCTAAACAATTTCAATAATTGGATTTCTTGATCTGACAAAAATGCCATCATCTAGTACCAAAGGTCAAAATAACAGAAAATCACATTTTTGAGAAAATATTGATCAATATTTATAGCTCTATCTCTGTAAATATTATTTTGAAACCTTATATGATATTTTCTTTTTTCAGAATCTCCAAAAAATTGTACTATATTTTCAAATTATGTGCTTTTTAATATTTTTTTTAATGAGGAAGGCATTAATAGTAAGATTCTCTCCATCTTGACTACCACGTCACCGTGGAAATTGAGCATTTTAATCTAACGGGTCAGTTTAAATTCTTACTCCCTTCCTGCCTCTTACCATGTCTACTACATCATTTCAATTTAATTTTCTTCCGACTCCATAAAACATCATTTGAATGCTGTAGTTTGCCTGAATTGTACAGAAAGTCCTCATCATTAGAGAAGAAGAAAATAGTTTCACCAAATTAAAATGGTTCTGTTGGATAGGAACTGAAAAAATTGATCAAAGACGAACAAGAGTCAGAAGAGACCACACCCTCACTTCACAGAGGAAGAAACTGAGGCTGAAACTAAATCTTTCTAGTTTCCAAAGCTTTATAAAAGGCCTGTGAAATGTGTTGGATGGATATCTACTTCCTGCTCAGAGAAACTGAGACTCCATAATTTCAAAATGAATCCAAAGTGATTTTTTTCCCCTTTAGCTAACATACCATGTCTAATTCAGTAAGCCTATAAACAAGCAAAATGGATTCAAAGGTTTCGTAGTTCACGAAAATATTTACTAGTTCATAAAATTTTATCATACCTTCTCTAACCAAGATCAGAATGAAACCATAACTGATAGGAGTAACCAGCAGTATCGTAAGGAACAGTACCAGTGCTCTAGGTTTTCTATTTTAAAAGCTTATTTGCCAAAAGGCTGATTCTGTTTAGGTCCCTTTCTTGGGTTAATAAATAGTAATATATATATATATATATGATATATATATATATATATATATATATAATAAATAAATAATCCTTTGCATATGTCAAAGGTAGAAGAGAGAGGTGAAGTGTTTTCTA